CAATTTCAATTCCTCTACTATTTCCCTGGGGGAAAGAATTTCCTAACCAATGCTTTATCCAGAATGCCCCAATACAATAGGACCAGAGAAGTAATAAATTCCATCATCCCATCCGATTAGATAGTAGCTCCTACCCTCACAAGAGTGCAGAAAAGCCCCCAGGGCGAAATGTCTGATGAATTAACCCAAACACTGAAGAGCGCTCTAGCGAGTGAAAATGGTTCAATCTCCATAAAGCAGCTCTCATTGAAAAATAAATTGGCATAGATGTGGACCAGATTTTATGTGCCCTCTAGTCAATGGATCTACAGCAGAAGCATGATTCAAAAACAGCTGAGCATTTTGGGTTCCTAAAGACCCTTCACCTTGCAAAACAGCAATTCTGGTGGCCACACATGAAAAAAGACATAGAGAACTATGTGATCAGTTGCCCAATAGATGCCTTAGCTAAAAGATACTGTGGCAAACCCCTGGGTTTCCTGCTGCCTATGGTCCATGAAAGAAATATCCATGCACTTCATTGTAGAACTGCTGGAAAGTCAGGGAACACAGTGATTTGGGTCATAACCAACTATTCTCCAAACATACCCATGTTGTGGCTTTCCCAAGATACCCTCTGCACAGACTCTGGCAAAGCTCTTTTTGGACAGAATGGATTGATGGTCCCCATGTATACTCACCCTGCCTCACTCACCAATTTCACAACAAATACCCTAACAAACCCAAGTAGTGCTACTAACTAATCCTTGCTATTTTTTCTTTCCTTTAGGCCTAGCCATTTTCAGAAGGGGCAGAATGTCAGGACTACCAACCTGCTACACCATGCATTGCTTGCTGTCAGCCTGCCATACTCAGCAGCGGGACGGGGGCTGCAGGGTGGGATAAGGGGGTGCATAAGAGGAATCAAAATTAGGCATTGTGCTGTCTTGTGAGAGCCACCAGCCATTCCAAAGTCACATTATGGAATGCAGAACCATCCAGCTCATGAAGACAGGGGCTGTTACCCAAACAATTCGTTAGCACCAAATTGGACAGTCAAAGATAACCAGGGGGAAAGGTGGAAACAAGGGAAAAGTTAACCATATGCTTTTGGCAAAAAAATCCCAGATCCAGCTCTGCTTCTTCTTGGCTTTAGTAAATTGTATTTTTGCTAACGAATTTGAGTGTCTTCCTTTTCTAACTGTCCAAGTTGGGATGGTTGACAGTAGTCAACACATAATGCGACCGGTTGGCATGGCTTTTACAAAAAAGCTTTTCCCCCCATGGAGCCAATGATCTGATATTTGATAAAGGAAACACAAAACGAAATACAAACTAGAGAAAATTCATTTACATGTACTAGATTTTTTTACAGTAGATTATTGAAATAATAGTTTGTTCTAAAACATTCAGAAGAGATTAATTTTGAGGAAAATTCCAAGAACCTAAAACAGATTCTTGAAGAGAGGTTCAAACAAATCTGTTTGAAACTCAATAATAAAGATGGCTTTTTGAGAAAACAGCCAGCCTCTGGACAGATGATTGGTGGAGTTGCTCAAGGACATATAAGAGAAGAAGCGAAAAGAAGGAATTGAAGGTTTTGCAGACCAGGATAAGGAATTACCATTAAATATTTGATAAGGATTTCAAAATGGACGAATCTTTGTGAAAGATGTTTTTCTAGAATGCATGATTGACTTCTGGCTGTTCATTTGATAATTTTTTAAGAAAACCTACAAGCTGAATATTGAATGTAAAATACCAATTATTTTCTATATCAGATTTAAATTCTTTTAATCTATTTGCTTTTATTAGTGGAAATATGTTGAAGTTCAAATCTTTATCTTAAGTGAACACTTCATTAACACCTGTTTCTGTCCAATTTATGACTCAAAAAGATCACACTTGTCACATGCTCATATTTGCAAAACTGTGGCTCAGTGGCTAAGACGCTGAGCTTGTCAATCAGTAGGTCGGCAATTCAGCGGTTCGAATCCCTAGCTCCATGTAAAGGAGTGAGCTCCCATTACTTGTCCCAGCTTCCGCCAACCTAGCAGTTCGAAAGCACGTAAAAAATTCAAGTATAAAAATAGGGACCACCTTTGGTGAGAAAGTAACAGTGCTCCGTGTGCCTTTGGCGTTTAGTCATGCTGGCCACATGACCACAGAAACATCTCCCGACAGCGCCGGCTCTTCGGCTTAGAAATGGAGATGAGCACCGCCCCAGGGCCGGATACAACTAGCACACATGTGCAGAGGAACCTTTACCTTTACATTACCACCAATACTTCTGTATGAATATTGTTTTTCCTTGATGTCTAAAGCTACCTGAAGCTACTGTATATAGAGACAGAAACACAGATTTAGCATAATAATGGCTTGATACATTGGATAGCAGGCTGCTTTGCATACATTCTAGTGCAAACTCAATATTTCCTATAACAGCAAATGCCATGTTTGGCAATATGGATTATCACATTTTGACAAATTTTGTAAATCTTGTATATGAAACAAATTTAAATTCAACATTTCTAAAGGGAAAATTGTGACTTTTAATTTTAATTTTAATCCAGTATCCTTCCTGCTCTCTTTCCTAACCAGCCTGATGATATCTGCAGTACAGCAGCACAATTCAAAGGGATGTTCACTATTCTGAATATTTTACTTGAGTCATTGCAGAAACTGTCCTGAACAAACTATAACACTGCATTTCAAACATTTTGGTGCCGCTGTATGGAAAAACAACTTTGTCATCATCAAAAGAAATGCACTAAAAGCTTCCATGTGCTACTGAACTCCATCTTCCCAGAAATACATTTTACAATGGAGGAAGAAATGGCCAAACAATTACCATTTTTAGATGTGCTTGTTAACAGGCAGAAAGATGGAAGTATAGAAACCATAGTTTTTTATAAGGCCACGAACACTCCACACATTCTCAGTTTCAACAATAACCATCCACTGTCACACAAAAGGAGCTGCATCAGAATACTATATGGCAGAATGAGAACCCACTGTAGTATCGAGCAAGCTAAACCACTGGAGAGTAGGTACCTACATGAGCAATTCATAATGGGCACCCACAAGCAGTTATTACAAAAATGCAAAGGAGAGAAAAGAAAACTGAAGGTAAAAGACCAAATATACCCTGCCATACATTTCGGAAGCAGCTTCCAAGATCTGCCAGCGGGCATCACACACTGCCCAGAATATGAGGACAATTATACATTGTGTAGATCACTTGTAGTAATCTATTGGATCCCCTGCATGGATTGCCCCTGCAACTACAGGACAAGTGGGGGAAAAGCTAACCACCAGATTGCAAAAACAGACATGAACTGTCAGATGAGGAAACCCAAACTCACTGGTATCCTCACATTGCAATGAATAACGACACACATTTAATTTTGCAGCTATTAAGATCATTGGCCATACAAGTACAAAGATAGGCAGGGAAATTATTAAAACCTGGGAAATGGGCCCCTTGTCAGTTGACAGGAGTGCTGATTTACCACCAGCTTAACAAGAATTTAGGTGCTGAGGGCTTGGCAACACAAGGAAACAACAGCCAATAGTCAACCATGAACACACCAATCAGCCAATAGAAAGGCACCACATAAACACAACTCACAGAATTGCCCAAAGCACATATTCCAGTACAGAGAGGCTCCCTGAAGAGGGGCTCCAGCATGAGCCTGAAAGCTGGGAAGATTAAATCTCTGGTCCCAGTGACCGACTCAGATTCAACGTTGCATCATTTTCCTGGACTACATATATTTGCCTTCATTCGTAAAGATATTACCCTATAAAAAATGCATTACCCTATTCTTTCAAGACTTTGTATGCACTACTTCGATCACATTGCTTGAATGCTGAAAAATTCATCCCAATCTAGTTTTTCCTTCCTTTCTTACGCATGCATAAAGACTGGAAGAAGTACCTTTCATCTGTACACTTTTCATGATATCTGTTGCTATAATTTGAACAAGTGTTGACACAAACTTTTCAAGCAATAACAATAAAAATCACTCCACCAACCTATGATTTTCCCTCACTTTTCTCCTTAAACATTTACTTAGTAAGAGGCTGAAAAAGCAAATATTACCCAGTAATTTTAATGCCTCTTTACATAAAATGGTAAATGTATATATTCACTGTGAATGTCACAGCTTCTTTATGGTCTCACATGTAGAGGTATTTATTAAAGTACACACTTTATTGCTAAAGAAGCTAAAACAATACACGTATAATCCAGACCAAAGGAACTTTTAAAACATTGTCTTTACGAAATGTCTGGCAGTTTGTGTATATCAGGACATAATTGTAAAATAAATCTACCACTGAATTTATATAGCATAAAAACAGTTTCAATATGAAGCTGTCTGATAACACCGTTCAGCTTTTTACATGCTAAATATTTTCAGCAGCTGTACATTAATATAAGGATGATGTGATGTTGCATGTGAAACATAGTTAATAATTTAAAATTATTATTTCTGATAGTTAATTAAAAACACTGATTATAATTGTATTCCTTAATTAGTTATAACAATGGTACAAAATCATGCAGAATAATTCTAAGTATGTTAAGAACAACAGTTAAAAACAAAAAACAAAAAACTATAGTCAAAATCAATGTCACTAGATAATGGTGATGCATATTATCTCAGGCCCAGTATTGTTTTGATTCAGTGGTAATAAAATCCTTGCAAAGAGTAATCAGCTGTGCCATATTAGATTGATACTTCTGTCTATTCCAGCAGCATATATAAAAATGGGAAAAAACTTAGATGGGAAGATTTAAGATTTTTTTTTCCTTTGTTACTCACGTATAAAGAATAGTGTCTTATATCTGAAGTTAAAATGAGGCTAACTGAATCGTCAGTCTCCATCTTCACTTGTTCCTATACTATAGACACTTTTCTCTGTTCCTAATACTAACATTAGAAGTGAACATGCCCAAAGGAAAAAGAATGTCCACTTTTCATTTTTAAAATATGAGCCCAGCATATATTTCATCATTAGAATTACATCATCCTGGATGAAAGATGAAAGTTTATTACACATAAATTAAACAATAGCAGCCTATCATAATCAGCTCAATTATAATTATTGGCTTAGCTAGTCTTCCACACTTCCATGGACTTTAATGGGGCATGCTCAGAAAATTCATAGTGGATTTTCCCTTAAATTCTTAAAGAAAAAGATTGCAATTTAAATCATGGAGAGTACTGAAACAATATTAGCAAAACTGTATTCATTTGTCAAATCAAACTATGAGCTCTAATTAACAACTTCAACCAAAAAACACAAGAACAAAATTATATTACACATATCTAAATGTGTAATAATAATCTAAAAAAGTAACATTTATATATATTAATGCTACGTTCCTATTCCAAAAATGGTATCAGTAAAAATGAAATGTCACAGGAGTTGCTAAATGACATTCAATTCTGTAGAGGAATTTTGCAAATGTCTTTGTAATAGAAAACTAAGTTTCATTACTAGTCTGTTAAAATAAAACACCCAAATTCAACTTTGGTTTATAGATACAGGCCTCCTGATGCATCTTTGTCCTCAGGGAGTTGCCTCATTCATTACAACAATGAAGCTGATTGACATCTGCATATCAGATCACATGCACATATCCCTGAATAAAGTAGGCAAAACCTTTTGACATCCATCCAGTTTTACTCTACTGCTCAATCATGTAAACCATGAGAAGGGTTTCTTTCCAAAACGTCCTATTAGCTACTGGAGTGCTAGAGAGGGGTACTATATGTATATTAAGCATCAGGCAACAACAATGGCTATTTCCAGCCCAAAGGTACTGGGCAAGCTGAATGTCTAGATTTGTTAACACATAGGAGAGCTCATGCAGTTGGCAGATTTTATCATAATTTTCACAATTTGCAATTCTCTATAGTCTCTATAGTCTCATTGCACTTTTGATGAAAGAAAAACTTGACTTAAGTATTTTGGATGAGAGCTTGAGCTTGCGGTTTTCTTTTTCTTCTTTTTGCTGTGCTTCTTGTGTTTCTTTCGCTTTTTTGTTTTATCCTTTAAAAAGGGAAATACCGAAAGACAATTATTATATACTGAAACTACCTGATTCCAATTCACGTTTTTTCTCTCCAAATGCATTTTCAAGGAAAGAATTAATTAAAGCCACCGAATATCGTAATAAGCCCAGTTAAATTAAGAATAACAAATACCACTCTACTAAAAGATTTACAGAAGGCACTGTCCACAGATTTATCTCTAAAGCTGTTTTTCTTCACATATAAAATTCTAATTTTAATTCCTCATACCACATTTCATTAATCAGAAAAAAAATCCAAGAAACCTAATTCATAATTTGTTGCCAAGTGATATTAGCAAGACTATATTAAATAATCTAATTTGATTTATTAATTCCTTCTAATCTCTTATTACCTGTTTAGGACTACTGTATTCTAGAAAAAAATATCTTTTTTTAATCTATAGAATCAATCATTTAAATTTAATACTGTAGTGTTCATTATTTATTTATTAGATTTCTATGCCACATTTCCATCAAGCATTCCAGGTACTGTACTCCTTCTGCAGTCCTCCTATTTTCTGACTAGCATATTTACTTTAAGGAGGATTAAGTATTTATCTATATATTGTGTGCATTATGTAATAGTTGAAAATCAGTTAATTATTGATATAGTAAAGTTACGAGAAACTAGAGCAATTGAAATAGGGAGGTTTGCCCCAGCATATATACCGTACATGCTGATATAACATTAGGAGTTTAAAGTTCTTAGGCATATAAAATAAGCTTACATTTTTCTCTTTTTCTTCACTATTTTTCTTCTTTTTTGATTGTACCTAAATGTGAAGAAGCAGAATGACAGAATACACATTTTACAAAATGGATGAAAAACTGAAATAGCAATCACAATAGAAACGTTGCTTAATAATAATTTGGAAAAATAGGATTACTTCTCCAATAGCTATTTTGTACTATCTGGCAATTTTGTTTTCTAATTCTGTTGCCATGCCTAAAATTTTCAGGAACATCACAGCTGACATTTTCGAGTTCTACAATGTAGAAAGAACTATGTGAGAAAGATCTTTGGTGGCTTTCTTAATTTATAATCATCTGAAGCAGTACATATGGGAAAAATGGACAAATATTTCTGCATATGCATATGAATGGAGAACTTGGTGAACATTTTTAAATCATGTAAATGCTTTGCTTTATATTTAGACTTACCTCCTCTGTTTCAATCGATTCCAATGAAGAGTCTGATGGCAATAATTCTTCCATATGATCAGCTTTTATTCTTTTCCTAACAAAACTTTTGGAATCCTAGGTAAGAAAATATTTTGTTATGATCACCTTTGAAAACTCACATTTCCTGTGATAAAAAATAGAACTAACCCCTCTTTCTTCAACTTTCTTGTTCTTCACCATTGCCAGGTCTTGTTATCTGCTCTTTTTTTAATGTACTGACTATATAATACTTACTTCTAGTCTTATAATATAAGACTAGAAAAGAGACACAGCAAGTATTACATGGCCAGCACATACACATACACATACATAGAGACAGAGACAGAGACAGAGATAGAGACAGAGACAGAGAGAGAAAAACACAGGAAGCAGACAAAGTAAATAACAAACACTGGCAATAGCTAACAGCAGGAAAATTGAAGAGATGGGATGATTCTGGATAGTAAGATACAGCAAAATGCTACCTCTACAGAGAAGCTGAAAGTTAGCTGCTACAAGAAGACTGTGCAGACTTGTAACAACAGCATGACAAAATAGCAACAATAAACAATTGTTGATAAGAAAGACTAAAATATCTGAATAATGGACATCGCAATACCTGGAGACAAAGTAGAAGAGAAACAACTGGGGAAAATTACAAAATACAACCTGCAAATAGAAGTAAAATGACTATGGCAAAAGAAAGCAATCCCCATACCTCTGCAACATACTTCAACATCTTCAGCACTGACAAAATCACCATTAGTTAATTGCAAAAGGCAACTTTATTTGGAATAGCTTACATCAGTGATGAAATCCTCCGCGGATTGCCACTGGTTTGCTGCCCGCGCATGCAGTGTGCGCCAAAAGCATGCTGCGCGGGCATGCACAGTGCATGCCAAAAGCACGTTGTGTGCGCATGCATGCACAGTGCACACCAAAAGCACGCTGCACTCGCATGCGCACCAAATACATGCTCCGCACACATGCACAGTGCACGCCAAACGCACGCTTTGTGCAGGAAAAGGACACTTAACAAGGTAAGTAAAACAATGAGGGGGGGGAACAGCTGAGTTGCGCGATTTTTATTCGTTAGAAAGCAGGATTTCCTTTTATCACTACCTGTTTACTCGAACTGGTGCGAACCAGTAGCATTTCACTACTGGCTTACATCCTGCAACATACCCTTAATACTGTGAAATAACTACATCTGCCTAACCCAGAACCGTGGGAAGGACTTGATAAATTGATATCTAAACATTTAAACTAATCTAAATCTAAACATCTGGCTGACTATGCAATCTAATCTAATAATAATAATAATAATAATAATAATTATTATTATTATTATTATTATTATTATTATTATTTTAAAATATAAACAAATAAATTTATGGCATATAACTCACCAGATTTAACTATGGTTGAAAAAAAAAAAGTATGGGTAATTGATGTGACAATACCAGGGGACAGTAAAACAGAAGACAAAGAATTGGAGAAGATTACAAAGTATCAAGATTCAAAAATTAAAACTTTCAGATTATGGAATAACAAGTAATGGCGGTCCCAATAGTTACAGGGATATTGGGTGCCATATCAAAAAGCCTTGGATGACACTTAGAAAATCTGCACATTGACAAAATTTGCATCTGCTAATTATATAAGACTACATTGCTTGGATCTGGATGTACATTATGCTGATACATTATGACAACCTAGGTTCTTGAAACTTGATTCAAATGAAGGCCAATACCAACTAAAGAACTGGCAGCTATGATTTCACCTTTTTATTTATTTAAGAACAAAATCAAGTCTAATTGCTGATTGTGTGACCAACTATAATAATAAAATATACTTTACATTAAATTAATAAATACTTAGTGGTCAACTGATATAAAGGATATGAAGATCAGATTTTGGAATTAATTTTCCAAACAACTACCGTGTTTCCCCCAAAATAAGACATCCCCTGATAATAAGCCCAATTGGCCAAGTGATTATTTCAGGGTTCAAAAAAATATAAGGCAGGGGCTTATTTTTGGGGAAACACGGTAGCAATTTTAATCCTAAACAGCTGTTAATTTTAGAGCTTTTTTACAATTAGGCTATTAAGAACTTTCATTCAGTTATTCTATAATTAGACATTTATTTTTAAGGAATTTTTAAAAATACTATGAAACTGTTTTACCTTATCTCTTTCATAATCTTCCTTTGTCCGTTTAGTTCTTAAACTATCCTAAATAATAAAAAAATTGTTATGATTAAAAAACAGCATCAATGACAGTGTACACTTAAATTTGCTTCTGTATAAGCAAATAGTGCAGAAGTAATGGCAACTGGTATTCTGGAAATGGAATAATCCAAACAGCTTCAGTGAAAAATAAAACATATATGTATTATTGTTGCAATATAGCAAGTAAAGCAAACATTGCACCAGTTTAGAATAAAGGACAGAAAGGTCCAAATTTCATTCATATTCCACATATGTATTTCTGCCACTAGTACACTTTAATCAATATAAAAGTTTCATTCATAAATTAGGTAAGGATACTATTTTTTTTTTTACTTTACCTTGCTATCTGAATCAGAGTCTGAACTAGAACTTTCAGATGACTTCTGTAAGATGTGATATTTTTTTTTCTTTCTCTTTTTTCCTTGTTTCTTATCCTAATCAGGAATATAAGAAAATTATTAGATTTTGTCAGATTAAATCATTTCAGATATAAAACATAAAAGTATTTTCTTAACGACTAGCCACAGGAATGACTGGAGTTTATGTTGTCTTTCCGATTTCTATATATTCAGGATAATGATAGCATTTCTGTTTAATGCCTTTGTTTAATAATTCTTCACCAAATATCATTTTAATATTCTGACTTCATTGACTGAATTCAAAGATCAAAAAGCTATGAAAAAATTTTTCAGAGAAAAACAAATAAAGTTCAAAAATATTCTTAAAACAAAAATTTTAGAAATGAAATGGAAACAGGGTTTAAAGTTAATAATAATTCAGTGTTTATTCAAAAGCTCAGTATAAGTTATGCTTAACTAAGCAGACATTATTTTCCAATTGTAAAAACAGCAAAATTGAATTTAGATTATTTTTATCAATTATTATATTACTTCGATGAAAGATAAAAGGAAAATATTCTGAATATAATTTTTCATACTTTGGAACTATGATTTCAATCAGCACTAGAAAAGCAATTAATTTTTTAAAAAAAATCAAAAGTCCTGATTTATGAACATATCTTGCCTTGTTATCAGCCTCAGAGAAGTCATGCTGATTTGATGATTTTGACCAATTTGAACTAGAGCACCTAAGTCTTTTACTCCTCATATCCTTTTATACAGCCCTTATGTCAAATAATTACATAACAGTTCAAACAGGAATTTTCTTTACACTTCACAATTCTGTGTTGTGAAATGCCAAAAGGGGTTGGAACTAACATCTTCTGTATTAGAATCTCAACTGCTACTTCTTCTCTGCCAGGGAATATCAGAAGGCAGAGAACTGATAAGAAGAAAGGATGCTTATCTTTCTGACTAACCAAATGTTTCAATCAAGATTCCTCCAAAAATTTTTCTTCAAGAGATCTATACTTGGTCCTACCACATATGCATGCTAGAATCATGACTAGTAAACTATCAAAATCTACAGTTCTTCTCTAAAAATGATCCCTTCTGTTATTAATTCATAATAATTTGTGATATAATAAATCATTCTAGTCTGAGAGTTTATTTTTTACAATGGTTCAGGCCATCTTGTCATTCTGCTAAAAATTCAGTCTCGTAAGGATGCTTAAACACTTGTCTACTGCAATAGGAGGGTCCTCAACAATGATGCATGATGTTTTAGAAATTCAACTGCCTGCTTAATACATGTATTAGGAGAGCTTCATTTCAACACTTCCCTTTTTTTCTACAAAATTGTTCATTTTTGCTGGTATTCACTTAAGTTGTTTTAATGTCTATTGAGAAATAGCACAAGTTGTTTCTGATCTAAAAAATGTGTAAAAAATTTCTACAAAACTCAATTCAGCAGTTCCAAGGCACAAACACAATACTTTTCCCTTTCACTTCTACTGATGTGTGGATGTGTATAATTTTCTATGTTATCCAGTTTCAGAAGATAAAGGTAGATAACTTTGATTTTAGCATAGTCAACAAAATCTCTCTCTCTCTTTCTCTCTCCGTCCCTCCCTCCCTCTCTCTCATACTCTTTCCTAAGCTTCAGGAATGGTTCCTTGCTTTTTCACAAGCAATTATGGGAGGTTAAAACACGATGAAGGGGGGAAACAAGGTACAGTTTCATCTTCCTCTAATTCTCTAATTCTCTGGAGCAGATTTTTCAGAGAATAATGGTGACAGCCAGCAGAAGAATAAAATGACTCTGGTACTAACCAACAAACCTAGAGATGCCCTGTCCTTCAGATGGCTTTAAAAACTAGTTCCTTAAAAGATTTCTGACATTTCAATGAAAATGACACTGCTTTTCCTCCATTTAGACACCCATTTTGAATACGAAATAACAGAAAGCTACAATTCAGACTTACCTCATCTTCAATATCAGATGAACTGCTGGAAGAATCAGAGCTTGATGAGGAAGAGGAAGATGGAGACAACTTGACCAAAGACAACAAAACGTAAATTTGTGAGATGCAGAATTTGTCAATAGAAAAAATTAACCCCCTGCCCCTCAAATTTATAGATATTTTCCAAAGCTGCATTACCTGCATTTAAAAACCACAGTTTAACATTCAAAATAAAACCCCCAAAATTACCCTTTAAACAAGCTACATACAATTGTCTTAGGTGGTGAAAAATAAATGAAATCTTTGCTCACCCTACTGGATTTCTTCTTCTCTTTTTTCTTCTTCTAAAAAAGGATTTTTTTCATTAATATGAAGTTAATGAATGAAGTAAACATTTTTGAAATGTATTCTATTATAACAGCCACAATAACACACTTAAAGCAAACAAGAAAATTTCAAATCCCTAGTTCTGCATGGAGTGCATATACGATGGCATTTACCTCTTTCTTTCTTGAAGTGCTCTCATTTCCACTTAACAATTTCTCTCTATGTTTTTCCAGTTCTTTTTTCCAGTTCTGAAAAACAGTTGAAACAATTATGAGTATATCTCAAATACCCTTTGGATTATCTTTATGGTCACTAACGCATAAGAACCATTTCTATGATGGGAAACTTGTTTGAAATAATTAGATTGGAATTCTATATCCATTCTCCTGGAAAATCCCATTGAATCCATTTATTTATTTATTTATACAATTTATATTCTGCCAGATTCCTGTTCCCTTTTTAATAGGATTGTACTACTAGGCTTTATTACAGAGGTAGTCAGTATTGCAACCTAGTCCCTTATAATTTGTTGGGTGCCACAAAAAGAATTAGGAGAAAATGTGCATTATTGTTTCTGTATTTTACATAGAGCAGCAATGTGGCTTTTCTCATTGTGCTAAAACTATATTTCTTAATTTGGTGGATTAATACCGTATGTTTAACATTTATAGCTAACATTAAGTACTTGAGGTGCCTAATGTTCAATCACTGTGAAGAGATGAATATCCAATCACATGTGTATTAATCATTATTAATAATTAACAATATTAATTAATTAATATTAATTAATTAATAATAACATTATTAATCTAGGGTGTGCTGGATTAGATTTGCTATCATTGAAAGCTAACATGGTAGAATATTGGTTTTTATTGCTAATCACACATTTGCATTGGATCAGTATCTTTTGATGCATCTACATGAGAAGCAATTAACACTAAACTGTATCTATTAGCATAAAACTGAAATATCATTAGCATTATGTTAATACTAATAATGCAGGTATAAAATCTAGGCTTGTCTCTACATTAATCAAATAACAAACCTCATTCATTCTTTCTTCAAATTCTGCTAAGGCCTTCGAACCTTTCTTCTTCTTTTCTAGTTGTTCTTTTACTTCTTCCCTTTAATGAAAAAATAGATAACCTGTAACTGATACTGGTACATAAGTTTAGATCTGAAAATATTAACTTAGACCTTCTTGATGCTCTTTGACCTTGGTGGGGGTTTTCTAGGCCTTTCATTACCAAACCATCATCAGAGCAGATATTGATTTAAAGAAACTGAAATAAAACTTGCTTTCTTTCTGTGTTTGTGCACCTCAAGTGAAACTGTGGTTTCATTCATGAAGAATGCAAGTTTTATCAAATGGAAATTTGCAAAATGCTTTGTGAAACACATCCAGATCTACATTCCAAAATTGGCCAGGAACAGTAATCTTAAGGGGTGGAATCATAAATTTAAGGGATGAAATTTTATTTATTGAATTTATATGACTACTCATCTCACGTACACAATTCTGGGCAACTAATTATAAATTATGCAGTTGAATTTCCCACATTTGGAGAAACTGCAGGGGACAGTTCATCTGGAATGAAATTGGTGAGCCTCACCCTTTAAAACTTCAACATCAAGGATTTTGTCTTGCTGGTAAAAGCCTTAACACATTTGTAAGTCTTAAAAGAGTTTTATTTTGCCCCAAAAGACAAAACATAAAACATGATCCAAATTTAGGGCCTATCCACATTTAGGTGAGTCCCAGAAGTCAGAAATGGGGTGATAGCCCTCATGTGGATCTCAAACTCCATTTTCAATTTCCTGATTTAATATCATATGTGAAGTAGTCCATTAATTTGGGGCAAGGTATTCTATTAAGGCAAACTTTACTACTTCTCTTTGTTAACAAAGTAATCTTATAAAAGGAACAAAGTGATCATTTGTAGCATACCATGTTGGTCTTGGTCTGTTCAAGTAATCTTGTATCGTAGGTCCTGAAGACGGAGCAGGACCTCGTGATCTAGCCATTGCTATAGGATTCATATATGCCTTAAATATAACAAAGAAAGAATGAGAGAACCTTAAATTATTCCAATCTGAAACTCTTAAAAATAGCTTTTTTCTTTTAATTTTCAAAAATGATATATTGTCACTTAGCCCATCTACATAAATTACCAACTTGATAGAATTTTTAATGTGTTGGAAAGTGACATTATTGACACAATATATTTTGATTGCTTCACTTTTTAGTAATGTATCCTCCTTCCTCTCCAACTGTTATAAAAAGCTGGTATTTAAATGTATATATTTATTGTCAATTTTTTATATATAAATAAAATGTAATATATTTATATAAGTAAAAAAACTCTCAATGATTAATGAAATACACTAAGTCTCGTATGGTTATGGCACTTGGGGGTGGGGAGGCAGTATGCTGGGATATTTCTTACTCTTAATTTGCCTCAGCAAAAGCTGTGTACAATTGGCCTCCGAGAAATCATTCTGCTCAAAAAATATTGCGTGGAACTAACACAGAGGATCATCTAATGCTGTAATATTTAACATCTTATGAGAGGATAGCAACAAAATAAATATCCTTATGGTACCATTAAGACTAATAAATTGATCACTAAGCTTGCTAAGAGAATAAGGTATATAAGAGAGAGAATGAATGTTGTGCCTACATTTTCTTTCACTATGTTACTATATCAATTTTTGATGACCTTTTAAAAACTAGTTACACACTTAAAACATGGGACCTAATTAAATATAGTATCTTATATATGAAATGAAAGCTGGGGTGGAGATGACTAATTTCTTATAGCATAAAATGAGAGGGGTGTAGACAACCACTCCTGTATCATTACCTCCTTTTCAAATTTCTGACATATTTTCTACATCCCTATGCAATCCCAAACATGTATTGTCATTGTTAGAAACCTTCAGCAAATAACAGTTTATAGTAAAATAAAAGAACAGAAAATATTCAATATTGCCATCTCTTAATCTAAATTTTTTAAATTAAAAAGACAATAAAAGAACTATTAGCATATTAATATTTTTATGAAGCTATTGTATGCAAATGCAATCTTGGAAACATACATTTATATTCAGGCATGCATATCTAGGGCACACTATTAGCTACAGATTTAATAGCAGGTTTTCATGAAACTTACGAGAAATTATCTTTTTTTTTTCTATCAATGCTGTTACTTTACCCATAAGGCATTCATTATTTAATATAGACATTATTGTTTCCTATGTACATTGTCAACATTCAGCATGTTTGACCTACTAGTCATTTAATATGAGGAGTTTCTGGATTCTACATAACTGGATTGTGTTATGGGCCTTGGTAAGCAATCAAGGAATTGAAACATCAAGCTCAGACCCAACTCTCTTTGGGGAGTTTCTTTGCTTTCTATTTTTTATTTTTTTCATCTTTTTCTGGCTTAAAATAAAATAGCCTCAAAGTGACCCTTGAAAGCTAATGTATAAACAAACAACTTAACTTTTATTTTAGGCAGAATTTTACTTATACAAAATGAGTCATCAGGCTGCCTATAAACATCTCATTTATAATATTAGCATACAAATCTTTGTTTTAAAGTGGCCTGTTTTATAATGGATTTATTACTGTATTATTCAAAAACAAGTTGTTTACAGAGAGAAATAAGAAACTTCCCCCCAGTTTTAACATTTCACTGACAGTGTACTAAGTTTGATAAGTGCTTTTCTGGTCCTAAGAGCAACAAATTATCATCCAATGCGATGCAGTTTTTACTTAGGACAAATATAATTAGTCATTTCTATGTCTTCAGTGTATTCTTAGGAATTTAACAAAAGCAGGGAGCATAGTCTCTTCAAACTGGCAAATAAGGATGAGCACATTTTTTTTTCTAAAAAGCACACCTCAATAGACAGATGCCTTTAGTGGAATGCTACACTAATTGTCTTTTGGATAGATCTTACCGCTCTCTATATAAGTGTGTCCCTCAAATCTACCTAAACGATCTATACATTTTGATGTGATTATTAATTCATCAAAACAAAACAAAAACCACCAAGATGAAAAACAAGTTTTGAAATACAAAAAAACGGGACTCGGGTTAATTTATAATTAAGGATCTAGTGCTGAGAAACATACACGCACACTCCATATAAGATCAGAACAATGTCCTTATTAAAAATAATATAATAATAATAATAATACCAGGTTACTTTTCAATCTCATCACATCATTGAGATGAAAAACTGACCACATGTACAGAGGGGCCCAACTTTTCTATCCCATGACAGAGGGAGAAGTGTTTCATGTGTAAAGCCCCCCCGCCCCTCAAAAACCCCTCTCACCTTTCCCATTGAAAGGGACTACCAAGCCCATAACAATCGGAACTATTTTTAGTAGCTCACCCCCTTTTGTCAATGCAACGAGGAAAGACCTGCAGGATGTCTGTGACAGACGCTGGCTGTTCCCCACGTACACTCCGCCCTCACGCCACCCACCCACCCAACTTCCAAGGTGGTCGCCTAGCCACCGCCTCCCTCTGAGTCCTTCATCCCCACCCAGGCCAGTAGGAAAGGCACCCCTTCTTCGAAACCTTTGCCGTTTCGGATCTCGCTTCCAAGGAAAGAGATTTAGCTTACGCACCACCCGGTTATCCCTCTTCCCCATGGCGGGCAGGAATCCTGGAAGCCCAGCGACGAAAACCAAACCGGCCTAGCTGGAGCCCCTTTCTCTGCTAGCCGTCAAGTTTTTAACATCAGACACTACGGAGCATGCTCAGTGACACCGAACATGCTCAGAGGCAGCCATTGAAGCCACTTGCCCTTCCTTGTTTGCCCTCACGAGGAGAACCAAAGGGGAGGTTAAGGAAGAAGTCGGCGTTTAGTTGTGTGCTGCTGTAGTATGATTTTCTCCCCCCCCCCCTTTTTTTTTTAAAAAAATACTTATTTCGAACCTAATCTTGAAATAGTTAAAATATTGTATGGGGTAAATAAATATAGGAGAGTGAATGCGACCGCAATAAGGCGAAAGGGCCCCTGGGTTGCCGAAATTGTGGGGGTAGCAGGCAGCGTTCATTTGTTGTCGTTTTCTTTTGTTTTTATTCGCGGGAGATTCAAAAGGGAGCTCAGGTCTGTAAAGTGAACATCTACACTTCCTATGACGTTGGCTGTAAAATAATTAAAAAAATGTTTACGTAAAAAAGCAGGGACCGCATCACATCGTGTATCTTTTGTAATGATATAGGTAAAAATAATTCAATAAGAGTAAGGGAATAAGGAAACCACTTGAGCTGTGAGCAAAACTTAAAGCAGTTTTTCCCAATTTAAAACTTCTTAAGAGGTGGGGAGTTCCTTTCCCAGAATTGCCCAGTCAGTTTATTCACTGGAGTATTCTGGGAACCTAAAGTCCATACATCTTAAAAGGTCTGAAATTGAGAAACACTCGCTTAAAAGGATGCTTTCTAACACCCACTGAAGCAAGATGGACAGCTTCAGTTTCTTTCTGCACATCTAGGGAGACATAGGGAGTGGGATTAAGAACAAGATATTTTCCGCATTTCAATATATTTCTGAGTTATAGACTAATTTGTCTGTTAGCTACCAAATGCAAACATTTATAAGGAAAAATCGAGGGCATTGGGTAGGATTAGCCTGGAGAAGACTGCAAGGAGACATGATATCAGTCTTCAAAGATCTGATTCTGAAGTGCTATCATTTAGAAAATAAGTGAAGAATTGTTCTAGTTGTTTCATAAAAAAATAAATACTGTAATACATTTGAAATAAAGGAAGTTGATTTCCATGAGAAATAGATACATTTTAAAAATAAGATTTTCTGAAACCAATTGCTTTGGCAGGTAATGGATTATCCTTTCTTGAATGGAGTTTAAACAGAAACTGGTATAATAATGGACTAGTGGGTGTGGGGTTTGGACTAGATGATCTTAAAGATCCTTACAAAAGTATGGTTCTATGTTCTAATGATTTTATGAATTCTGACAGGATGATGTCATAGGCATTTAATGGTTTGATTTCTGAAGCTCTTGACAATTCCTTTTCAGAGGCTTCTGAGTAAAAATGGCAGTCACAAACTATATAGAAACATTCAGTTGTAAATCAACAATTACAGAATGTAAACAGTACTGTAGCTAGTGCAAAACAATTCTCCAAACAAAGGAATGTAGTTGGGTTTGTAGACCAAGTTTTGTTTTGTTCTTTAATGTATGGTAATAAGTAAATAATTAATTACTTAATAATAATTATTGTAATTAATAAGTATTGATTGGTGAAGTGGCTGGAACAACTGATGAGGAAAAAATTAAAGTGATTTAAACAAAAAGAATCAGGAAATATCTTTAAAACAATTCTTTCATGTTGGTAAACTGATATAACAATGAGAAACTGTTTGCTGTAGGAAAGTTGGGAATTATACTGCTAGAATAAAAAAAATCTTACTTTCAAAATGTTTTGTTAGATAACTACTTCTAATTAGCAGCGATTGATCAGGAAAGTGATAGGTGTTTTGTATGTTGAACCAGTATTCAAGTAAAAAAGAGGAACTTCATGATGGAGATCATTAAGAAGTAAAAGAAATACTGATAATTTTAGAACAACTTCTTATACATTTATGCTATGATTATACTTAGAATAATATGTACAATTATGTCTGCCAGACTGCAGAAACTAGTATAACATAAGGCAGCTAAAATTATTCAAGATGTGTAAATTATTCAAGGTGACTGTGATCAAGAAAACAACTGCCTGTTTTGGAGCCTTATTTCATGATCCAGAACTAACTCCAATAATAATAATAAATTAATCTCTCTCAAATCTTGAATTCAATAGAATCCATTTATTGCATTTCTATCTACAATAGATAGTATATCTCAATGCAGAAAACCCCATGTCCAGTTTTGATGAATCTTTACCTGAAAGGCCTGATTTCACCTTTTCAAATTAAAAAATTAATCTTTCAGCTGACAGACAGTAAAACCGCAAGCAAAACTAATTTCTATATGGTGGGATGCTCTGCTGGCCATGTTTCAGCTATAAAATAGTTCCTTGTACATCTCTAGTGATTGGCTTAATTCCATTGTTCTCACATCGTACAGAAAAGATAATAGAAGTAATTCCACAAATTGCTACCCAGTTAAACTTTTACCCATAATCAGCAAATCATATGCAGGATTTTTATATTATAAACTCTTGGACTGGATGACCTTGAGAACATCTCGGATCTGGTCAGTCCAAACAAACTAATGCATCCTATTGTACAATCTCACTGAGAAATATTTCAATTTGACTTTTATATTACCTATAGTCGGCAATGACTAATGGAATAAAATCCACAGGAACTCCTTTTTTTTAACCTTTGTTATCTTTATTATAGATTTTATAAACAAAGGACAGCCTTTGATTCAATAATTCATGAAATATTCTAGAGGAAATTAACTACTGCTTTGAACGATCAATGTCTCCTTAAATTAAATATACTTTAAATATACTACTGCCCCATGGCACTATTACTAAGGTGAGGGGTTACTACCTACGTGACTCTCACTGGCTAGATAAGGTTTGGTTCTACTCTAAGAAGAAAAATTAATAGTGATTTAGCATACAGTGTATGCACAATTAGGTGAGTATTTTGACCATATCATCATTTTATGCATATTTTCCACCTCCAAGCTGTATAAACTTGAATGCTTAGTGCAGGGGTGTCAAACTCGCATCATCATGGTGTCATCACATGACATATTGTGAGTTTTTTCCCCTTCGCTAAACCGGGCATTGGTGTGGCCAGTGTGTGACGCATCCAGCCCGCAATCTGTGAATTTGACACCCCTGGCTTAGTGGATATAAGCATGTCAGGTGATGTGTACTTGTGTAATGAGGGAGGGTGTGGCCTAAGGAGATCAACACCCTATATCAAGGTGTGCATAATTATTAGCCAGCTTCTTTTCCTCAGGCAAAATGGGCCAAAAAAGAAATTTAACTGACTCTGAAAAGTCAACAATTGTAAAAAGTCTTTCAGAGGAATGCAGTACTCTTGAAATTGCTAAGATGTTGGGGCGTGATCACAGAACCATCTAACTTTTTATTGCAAATAATCAATAGGATCACAAGAAATGTGCTGAGAAAAAAAGATGCACATTAACTACCAAAGATTTGAGAAGAATCAAACGTGAAGCTACCAGGGACCCATTATTCTCCAGTGCTATCATATTCCAGAACTACCTGGAGTGCCCAGAATTACAAGATATTCAGTACTCAGAGACATAGCCAAGGTAAGAAAGGATGAAACCCGACCACCACTGAACAAGATACATAAATTGAAATGGCAAGACTGGGTCAAAAAATATCTGAAGACAGATTTTTTAAAAAGGTTTTATGGACTGATGAGATGAGAGTGATTCTTGATGGACCAGATAGATGGGCCCATGGCTGGATCAGTAATCAGAACAGAAGTCCAGTTCGACTCAAATGCCAGCAAAATGAAGGTGGGGTACTAGTATGGGCAGGTATTATTAAATATGAGCTAGTTGGATTGAAGATGGATTCAAAATCAAATCCCAAACCTACTGCCAGTTTTTAGAAGACACTTTCTTCAATCATGGTCTTCAAGAAGACCATGATTTTTATTCAGGACAATGCTCCATCATATACATCGAAGTACTCCATTGGCTGGTTAGCCAGTAAAGGCCTTAAAGATGAAAGAATAATGACACGGCCTCATTTCTCATCTGACCTAAACCCTATTGAGAACTTGTGGGCCCTTCTTAAACTGGAGATTTACGGTAAAGGAAAACAATACACCTCTCTGAACAGTGTCTGGAAGACTGTGGTTGCTACTACACAAAAATTTAATCGCCAACAGATCAAGAAACTGACAGACTCCATCAATGGAAAGTTTATGACTGTTATTGAAAAGATGGCTATATTGGTCACTGGTTTTTTTTTTGTTTTTGTTTTGAAATGTCAGAAATGTTTATTTGTATATTTTGAGTTGTGTTAAGGATATTGTTGTGTTAACAACCAGCAGAGCATAGAGCACATGGAAACGGTGCTAAGAGCAACAATGAATAAAATACATATAAACTGGTTTATCGAAGTTTTTACTTTGTAGTGAAAAACAATCTCATAGCCTTTAATCAATCCAAGTCTTAGCCAGTCATAATCAGTCCAGAGATACAAAATTCTTCTTACCAGTTTGTAGTAAAAGGATCAAACAGGAACGATATAAATAGTTCTTAAAAACAGAATAAATAAACCATGATCACATTAGACCATGTAAGAGATCAAGTAGAAATTACAAAACAGCAGTAGTTAACAAATAGTAGCAAGTTCATGCTGATGGTATAGTAGCAAATAGTAGCAAGTTCACGATAGTGTCATGTCCACAATGACTACATTCAAGCTCTCCTTAAATACAGTTACTACAGAGCTTATCCAATCAGGATACAATGACTCAGCATTACAATGAAGTCATAGAATATATATTCATCATGTTAGCTTATATATTGCCTGGACAACCTGTTAGGCATGCACCATATCCTAACAAGTTGTTTGTTTATTATTCTCACTTTGATGCAAATAAATGAGATGGGCAAATTTTCATTTAGTTGCATAATAATTCTGCCCACTAATAGTTGCCCAATAATTGTGCACACATTGATATTCTCCTAAGAAAGCCAAAAACCTCACTTTTAATTTCTTAAATATTCAGATATATTTTTCCTTTATGTAATTAAATTCTCAGAAGGTTGCAGAATTTTTATTAATAACCATGGTC